CACATTGCTCCCCCTAGTGAGCTAGGTACTGATTTTACTGACCTCAGAAGGATGGAAGTCTGAGTCAACCTTGAGATTGAACCTGGTCTGTGAGCACAGTTTTGGCTGAAGTACAGTAGTTTAACCACTGTGCCATGAGGCTCCTTTATATACATAAAAACATTTCCTTTAATGATTTAAATGCAACTTTACCAAACACTTTTGACAACTGTAGCTGTGGCTGAGTCTCTCACCACCTGCAATCTTTTTCATGAGTCTCTCCAGTTGTTGAAGAACAACTACTCCCGTTATCACTTACCAATGGCCAGGATGGCAGGGGCTGATACATTTGCAGGACCATAGGTTCCAAGCTCAAAATCAACTCACAGCAAGTAGAGTTACAAGCTTGATGGATAAGGGGAATGCTGGGGATGTTGTGCATCTTGATTTCAAGAAGGATTTTGACTAGGTTCCACATTATATTCTAGTAGCCAACCAGGCAAAGCTAGAGGTGTGTTATTCAATGCCATTGTGTGGTGGCTTTATAGCTGGTTGGGAAGTCTTAGCTAAAGAGACCTCACTAATGGTTCCTTGTCATTCTGGAGAGCAGTGACAAGTAGACTGCCAGAGGATTTTGCCTTGGGCCTGGTGTTATTCAACATCTTTGTAAACTACAGAGATGAAGGATTGGGGGAATGTTTATTGAATCTCTACATGTCACCAAACTAGGAGCAATAGCTAATTCTATCGGAGATAATCAGGATTCAAGATGTCCTTAACAGACTGGAGAACATGGCCAAGATGAACAACATGAATTTGAACAGAAAAAAAAAATTGTTCTGCATTTAAGCAGAAAACATCAGATGCACATATATAGGATGGCTGACACCTGGTTCGATGGTAGTATGTTTAAAAAGATTTAGTGGGTCTCAGTGGACCACAAGTCAGCAATGTGACATGGCAATGAAGAAAGCAAATGCAATATTAGGCTGCATAAAGATAATTACTTGAAAGATTGTCATAAAAAGGAAGGGCAGAAGAGTACATTTAATAATGGGCCCCAGTTACAGGAAGCAAGAGTACTAACTCTTAGAGTAGTACGATAATGGTACCAATTATTTTGAGAGGTGGTGAGTGCTCATATACTGAAGTAATTCAAGAGAAAATTAGACAGCCATCTATCAGATATACAGTGGTACCTCGACTTACGAACTTAATCCGTATTGGAATGGTGTTCACAAGTCAAAAAGTTCATAGGTCGAGGCACCATTTCCCATAGGAATGCATTGAAAACCGATTAATGTGTTCCAGGGGAAGAAAAAAATACCAAAAAAATTAAAATTAT